TTAATTCGCTATTCAATCAACCCTTTTCTTCATATTACTGTCTTAACGTCCTCGGTGGTATATGTCAAGAGCGGTATGGTTTAGCATGGCATATGAGACACTTGATGTTTCGGAATCTTTACTCAGGCGTTCAGCATTTGGAATTTTGGTCTTGGCGCATAGCATCAACGGGTATCTGGGCGCTTCACTTTTTGAAGAGTTTTGCAGCATTGTTCTACGCGGTAGATGGTAGCGGTAGTCAATACAGAAGAATATCCACAGTACTAGTTCACATTGCTCAAGTCACTTCATCATGGTATGGACTTTCAACGAGCATGCATACCCTTGACGACCACATGTTCCTGACATTTCGCTTACGCCTGATATGTGCCTAATACAGGCGGTTAAGCGAGCATGTCAAACACGACTTCCTCTCCTTTACCTTTTGTGAACTTCCTCTTGTCCGTAGTACAATATCAAAGGCATGTTAAGGCACTTGACTCTTAGAAAGATGAGTAAACTCACAAAGTTGAGGCTGGTGCCATCACATCCTGAACCAACATGATCTCTTCCACCTTCGCACTCAAGCAACGAACTCCTTGCGCACAATCAACCTCTTACTCACATTTACCCGCTGATGAGCTGATTCCTCGTCCAGATAACTAATCTGACAGCGGCAGCCTTGCTTCCAAGGCCCGCCCATGACATCCACCGGTGCTCAAACCCCAAGGCACAGAACACCACATCACGGAACTTACCAAGCGAACGCGAACGCGCCATCTGAACCATCTGTCCTTTTTCAACTAGCATACCGTTGTAATCGTCGGATGATTTCCTTCTTTGCCGCTGCCGTTGTCGCTGCCAGTGCCGGTGGGTGCGGTGAAGCCTGACTCGTCGCGTGTTTGGTAGGTGAAACGTTTGGGACCGCACTAGTTGCTCTTTGCGCGGCACAACGGTTTGGTAACGGCGGGTGTGGGCGTCAGATGCACCTGTCAAGATCGTGTGTGCGTGTAGATGGCGATTTCGCTTTGACGATGTTCGCACAAGATGTGCTCGGAGTGCGAAACGGCAGAGTGGGAAGTTGACGTGGTGTTGGTGGGTTTTCGCACACGTAAGCAGGGGTGCATGCAATACACGCGTGTGTCGTCTTTGGCGATGTGCATATAGACAGCCTCGTCATAGACCGGAGTAGGACCATTGAGAATTCCAAATCACAACCGTCTTACTAAGAGACGCGACGGGTTTGCGAGAGAGAGAGAGAGAAAAATCGGCATCCCGTGTTCCTATTCTTGTTCCATGCTGGTCTGACGCTCGACCCCATGTCAGCCCTGCGCATCTCCCGCCCATCCCGCGAACGTCATTTGACTCGCATCCCACCGATCCTAACGCACAACGCCACAGCCCGTCCATCCGTCCAACTAAACGGCATCCCAGCCATCTACATAGTACCAGTGCTCTGTTGCTAATTTCCCGATATTCATGCCTTGCTGCCTTACCCTTCCTCCATGATCCCTTTCCTGTGGCCCCCCCTGTAAACACGCCATCTCATCGACCAGAGATCCTCCCTCAATCCCCACCACACCCCCCTGGCTTGGAACCAAACGAGTCAATTTCCATGTCCCCGGTCAGCGCATATGCCGAAGTCCTAATGCAGATCTACGCTCCGGCAAGTGTCAGGGATGTGCGTTGGATTCCGGTCCAGTGGAGTCGGTCAGGGTCGCGTTGGCGGTATTCATGCGAACTGGGTTTGAGACCTGGTGGGGATCTGTGAGCGCCTTAGTTTCGAGGCGCATAACTGTGGCGTGTGAGCGATGGATGCGCGCGATGGATTCGCTCACATGCCTTGTAGGGCTGATAGAATCTGTGTATGCATGGCTGAGGGGGGAAGATGACGTCGCAGGCTGAAGCCGTGGGTTCGGTCATATCCGCGACATGCATGAGTGAGGGGTTCTGGAAGTGTGACCGAAGGTTTGGTGGTGCATAAGGCGATAGGAAAGCCTGCGTCGGTGTAGTCGCCTAATGCGTGTGTAACGCGTGACTCCCAAAGGATTGTGTCGGACCGTAGAGTCGTTGGGTCAGCTGACTCTCGTGACTGTATCAACGTAATCGTTGTGGCTATCTGGGGTGATGTTTGGCCGACAGTACTCCCGAGGGGACCACGGCTGCACTGTGCTTGCGGCCCTTCTTCATCAGGGGTTGGACTCTGCAACTGTCTCTCCCGCCCCTTCCTGACCAGCCTCGTTGTCCGGTTGCGACCCTCTCCTGTCTTCGGGATCTTGGTCGCCCTTTCCACCATTCTTTTGTTGCTCGCCACTTGATTCAATGTCATCTCTCAGCTCTGCCTCTTCTTGTGGGTTCTCTGTGCCCCTCGAGCTGTACTCTTGATCCATGCGATGCATCAACTCTTCGCCGGGTAGAAGAATGCTTCTGTCGATCGCCAAAGGTAGTCCACGATGTCTACCACGTAGCATAGCAGCCATTAAGACGACTTTGCTCAAGCTTGCAAAGTCGCCGCATAGACTGGTGTTCTTTCCCGGTACACCGAGGCTCAAGCCGACAGTGCCATATGCCGACGTGACCTCGAATAAGATCGAGAAGACGCTGAAGCCCGGCGACGCGTTGAGAATATGACCTCGCTCAATGATACATATGAGGAAAAATACAAAGAATTGGAACCAGATGTCGTAGGCGAGCTGTTTTTGCAGATGAGACGCTACGCCAGCAGCACTGCTGTCATTCTCTTCCAGTCCGATAGATTTCTCTTCGTACGTGTTCGTCTTCCGCAGTACCAACGTCATGGGATAGATCGAGATGTACATGATGACTAAATAAGCCACCAAGCATGCGGGCGCGAGCGAACTCATGTTGATAATGTATGCGCCGCTAGTACGTAGTCCGCTGGCCATGAAGAGTCCGTCTACTACTCTAGCGCCAGTAGATAGAGCTTCGACGTCTGGCATGCCGATGTTCAATATCTCGAAGCAAAGCCAGGCAGTGATGTCGATGCCGAGCTGAACAAGAAAGAGGTATACTGTCTCGCGCTTGGGAAAAAGGTATATGAAACAACGTCGCGGATGCTGTAGAAGGAATTGCATCGTGTTCCTGATACGAGACTCTTTTGGCAGTATCTTCTTCAACATCCATATCGTGATGCGGAGTAAAATCGGGAACTGCGTTTGACCAGCGAACGCGAGACATGCAGCCACAAGCAGAACATACGCATTGCCACTGAAGGGAACGAAATTAGCGTTGAGCACGTTGAGTCCACCGTTGGAGAATTCCGTCACCGTCGCAAAATATGCCCACCATCCTGGGTTGATGGCACCTGGCTGCTCTTGATACAATGTGCTCTTGGTATCGTCGCGATATGCGTACGGTATCAGGAAAGTGATACCAAGCAAATACCAGAAAATCTGGTAGCCAACCAGGATAAGCAACAGAGCTTGGAGTGCGCGATACTCCACACCCCCAAGTTCCATGCGATCTTGCTCACTGAGCTCGCGGAATCGACCCTTGGAGTCGAGATGCGGCTTGAAGGAGACGTAGTCGTGTTTCTCGGGCTTCAACTCTGTCGAAAAGCGGTCAAGCATGCGGCTGAAGAAGTTGCGTGCGGACTTCATTTCCCAGGGTGTTGGAATGAAGCCAAAACCGGTCTCGTAGTGATATGTGCGTCTTCTAGACTTGGGATACATCTTTGCTTGCGGCGGCTCCTCGTTTTCTTCTTGTGCATTCTTTCCTGTCTGGCCTTGTTTTGCATTCGGTCGCTGGCGCAGGCTTCCGGTACTGCTGCTGCTTTCTGCTTGATCCGAATGGCTGTTTTCAATATCTCGTACGAGTCTTTGCATAGTGTGCGAATGTTTGACGACGTCTGCCATCTTTTTCCGGAACAGTGCTCTTCTGATGAGTACCACAGCTGTCGATACAAATGGTATGTTGCCAATTATTAGCAGCACGGCGAAGGTCGCTTGCTGGAAGCCGGACATATCTCCGAGGTCTACCGAATTGAGCCCTGCATCGATTAGTATTCGGCACCCAAACTGTCAAACCCCAAGTAGAAGACACTTACCTGTAGTTGTCATAGCACTGGTGCACAAGAACAGCGCGTCGGTATACGTCACATGCGCATCTCCATACTCTTTGGGCCCATCAGCAAGACCCTGCCCGTAAACAATAACCGAGGAGATCGCGATAACGACAACGAAATACAGCATATGCGCGCGATAAAAGTTCAACTTCAACACCTCCTCTTTCAAATACTTCAAAAAGTCATCTTTGGCCTGACGCGGGTTGCGCAGCTCCTCAAGCGGGTCGTGCATCGCGTCGTTGTCGTCGAGCGGCAACCACGACGAGCTCATTCCGGCTGCAGTCGCAATGTATATACTTTGCGGTATTTGTCCAAGACGCGTACCAAGAGAAAGCGCGGATCAACGTGGCAGATCTGGATAGCGCAACCTTGTCAGAAGTAGGCTGTGTTTAGCTGCGCTGCCCAGGCATTTTCGCGAGGGATGATGTCACTGACCCTCAAGCACGAACCTTATCGCGCGTGGGGAACGACGCATCATCGTGGACGCGACAACATTGATCTTCAGGTCCGCGACGTTCTCAATTGGCTTGCTGTATTGAACGGTGAGGAGTTGGCAGATTGTAAGTTATCTCCGTGCCGGTCCGGAGATGTTGTGATTAGAGCCTGGATTTGTCGTGCGATGAGGTTCGTCCCTGGCATATTACTAGGATCATCCATAGCGAACTACGTCTGACGGCCGTATATGTGCGCTGTCACCGCCTCCTGCGTTGCATTCTGTATTCCTTGTGGTGATCTCGAAGTGCTCGATGAGGAAAATCCAATCATACGTTGGACCGCGGTATATGGAAGGACACGTTATGATGTTGATAAGGAATTGACACAGAGAAATGTACCTACTAAATCTGTGAAAAAACTATTTACCCAAATGCGTGAACTAGCTCGGCATCACATTGCGCAAAACATCATACTGGAGTTCCACCACCACGCCAATACACTTCTACTCTGAGCACATGAAAACTTTACCCTCCTCAAACACCACACCCTTCTCCCTCATCTTCTTCTCTTCCTCCTTACCAATCACCCTCCCCTCTCCATCAACCCTCTCAAACACCACCCCCACGCGACTCAACTTGAGATGACTCCACATCTTCGCCGACTCACTCCACCCACCCAACGCCCCAAAACACGCACTAATCCCCACAATCCGCTCTCCACCCGCCGCCTTCCTCACGAACCAATCGCGCATATCCGGCTCGCCAAAGTAGCCAACCCGACCACTCTGCGTAACAAGTTTGAGAGCGCGGTACTGCTGCTCGACGTGGACTTCAGTGATGTCTTCCTGGTTCAGCGGGAAAGTGACGGTGTTTTGTAGTTGGTAAGGGTGTGGACCACTGCCTGTCTTATTCATATCTTGCCATGCGGCTTTGAGGGATTCTCGGAGAGGCTCAGTCATGTCGTGCGCCCATTTGGGGGATTGACATAGGACGGGTCCGCGACGGCCGACCATGCGGCCGCGATTACCCCACATGTCATGAGGGCCGGGGTTGATGCCGACGATATCGATACCGGTGTGGAGTTGGTAGGACGGTGACGATATGTTGGTCGCAGGGAGGGAGCTGGGTAGAGCGGTCGAATCGTGAGGCATGGAGATACTCGTTGCAACGGGCTGAAAGCATTCAATACCTGTGTTTTTCTTGTTCCACATGAACACATCGTTGGGCATCATATCCTGGGGGAGTTCGTATGGTATGGGGTGGGTAGAAGTGGGGAAGGACTCGAAATGGATCGTAGGATGCGCCCAGACCGAAGCATGGTCAGGATACTTTTGACCATCACGATTGTAGGGTAGCGATGATCCAAGCTTTCCCCATGCCATCTGCTGAGCGGATGTATATCGCGGCTGAGCGAGTGGTGCTGAGTCCGGTCTGCATGCTTGAAGAAGACCGAGACGTGAGATAGCTCCATTCTGGCAATGAGGTCAGTAGAGGCCTGTAGAGTAGCGCAGACGGCTGCAGCATTTGGGAACTCACCGAAGCAATTTGACCCGCCATTCCTACTAAATGCATGCCATCCAACACTTGGAACGGCCTCCGTACACCAGCGTAACTCCGGTGCAAGCCTTTTTTTCTCCCATTATTCAGTGTCACCTACTTCTAATTAGTATAGTTTTCTTCGGAGATGGTGAGCCCAGCGTACAGAGATACCGCTGATCATAGCAGTCTTGGATGGCCAAGGATCCTCAGGCTTCCCATGAGGCCCGGTCTGATTCACAATATCTTCGATACAGCAGACGATCTCCTTGATCCACTCCCCACGATCAAGATGAAACGGAAGTCCAGTAAATCCATCAGAGCTGCCAAAAAGTCTTGTTTGGTCACCCAAGGTGACGGAAATTCCCACTAAGTAGTCGTGGCTGTTGTTAATCTGGCGCCAGTAGGTGTCCAAAACGCAAGCACGATGAGTAATCTCATTCCAAGAGTGAATAAACTGTGCCGAAACGGTCTCGGTCTGAGCTGGCGGGGGATACATGGTCATGGGCATGTGCAAGCATACGGAGCTGTCTAGAATCGCCTTTGCTTCGTCCGAGTCTGCCGGCTCAGCGGGCTCGACCGGCCCAGTTGCTTTCTTGTAGAGCGAGGCTACTGGCTGGCAGCAGCCCCAGATCCGGCGTCGATTTGCTATGTGCATGAGGGGTCCCTGGATGCCGAACCTGGGACGAGTCGATGCATCCACCCAGAGAAAAAGACCTTTGTAGTCGAGCGCATCGGTGGTCGCAGTCTCCACGAAGTAGCGCAACTCGTAGAACCATGGCAATACACGCATGCGTACCATATGTTTCCAGAATGCGGCTTCACGAGTGACGCTGTTGACGTGATGCGAGGCTTGCATGAGCGAAAGCATGTCTTTGGAGTCAACATATCCAAGGATTTCGAGAAGCAGGTCGTACGGGAGGACTGCAATTGGATCCGTTCGCACCTTGTGCGCTAGATTTGCCAACTGCGGACTCCCACCGAAAATGTTGGAGGGTAGGATGTCTTGTATACTTTCTTGGAGAGCAGGTCGGGGGGAAGGATCGCACACTTCATACTCCGATCCCGCTCCATTATGCCAAAATTGCTCGTTGCCCGAAAAGACCTGATAGTCCACATCCAAAACTGGTCTTTCGTTTGCAAGAAGAGCGCTAAACGTTCTCAACATCACATGCTTATTAATATCTCTGCTCTCAAGTCCTATGCTCTTTGCGAGAATGTCGAAGCATGCCTCGTGGAATGGAAAAGCTTGTGGTTCGTCCCCACTCGCGTAGCTCGTGATGTTCAAAGAACCTTCGCCCGGATCATTGGGATCTCTTCCAGGCCCTTCGATATCTAGAGAGCCATAGTCGTAGTAGCGGCCTCTACCGGATATGTAGGCTTTCCGCTCGGGATTGAGTGCCAGTGCGCGGACCCGATTAATCCATTTGACGTCGTCGAGTCCGATGAGTCTAGGATCAAAACTGTTGTCCTCAGTGTTCTCGGTACTGGCATAATTGTCAAGACCCCACTCATCGCTAATGTCCAACTCGGGATCTTGCGACCAACTTCCATCATCGAGTTCTTCCACAGGCTCAGGCTCGGGGGTACGGGGTCGAAGAGCGACGTCAAGAATCTCGGATGATCTCGTAAGTAAGTCGGAGTCGTTGCTATCGATAGATTTCGTGTCGTCCGAAGAAGAATCCGAGGAAGGTTCGTAATCCGAATCTGCATCGTCTTCCTCCTGTTCTTGCTGTTCGATGCGTTGCTTCTCAACGGCTTCGGGGTCGATCGCATCTTCCATTTCTTCGTCCTCATCGTCGCTGTACACAAATCCGCGTCCCACCTTCTTCCCAGTACGTCTTCCCATCCTTATATCCATCGCGCGATCTCGCTTGCGCAAAGACTTGCCATTTCTCGATCCAATCCTGATGGCGCCAATGTTCATGCAGATGGAGCATAAGATACAGTAACAATCGAAGGAGCCCATGATGAAAGATGGAAGATGAAAGATGAAAGATGAATAAAACACAAGCTGGTATCAGAACAGAAGGTTGGAACTCGAGCTCTTATTAAAAGAAGCTTGTGGAGTATCTAGGGCGGCACGGCGGGATTATGGGGTCTTCGGATTAGGCGTGCACCCTTGGTGCAACGCCACCAACCCCACTTTGTCCAAAAACGTGGCTGCAGCCTTGCCATCCCCGGACATGATCTAGGCATCCCAAGGCAACACCGCCCAAGTTGCGTCATTCACAAACTAGCTTATTGCGCAAGCCAACATGGATTAGTACTTTCCAGAAATGCATTTGATGCCACAAACCATCTGACCACAACCCATTACCAGGCTAGAGACACGGGATAAAACGAAGGCCGCAATGGGGTAATTCTATGATGGGATGCAGGTTGAAAAGCATCCGCCGCCGCAGCGTTTCTTGGATTCTTTCAATTCGAGAACTCTATAGATAGGATCGTGAGCCTTGACCCATGACAACAAAAAGAAAGAAGATACCAAATTATGGTGGTAGGTATCGATAGCGGAGCCAACGAGAGCTCGGAAAAAGAACTCACGATTGTGCATCATGGAACTCATCGTCCTCCTGAGTCTCACTATCGGTCCTCCGCAGGAGATCGTCCTTTCGTGGCTCTGGTTCGGGGTTGGAATTAAGGAGTTTGCTGGGAGGCAGTTCCTTGGCGAAGGCCTCACGGTTCTCGGGTGAGATCGCACTAGGTTGCGAATAGGGCTTTTCGAGAGGTGGCATAGGTGGGTTGCTAGGATTGCTGGGGATGCTGCTGTTTTTGAAAGGCGGGGCATGAGTCGATGTTCCGTCGAAGTTGCTGGGAGGACCTACGCTCTGCTGTTCGTGTTGTGTCACTGGTTGCGACTGCACGCTTGTAGGCTCGGACGGTACTGGCTGCAACGTTTCCGTAGACTGTGCTGACTGTCCAGCGGGCACTTGTTCCGCTAGTTGTACAGCTCCTTGTGCCTGTGGTAGATGCGCTTCACTCGCTCGCGATGGGATGTTGAATTGTTTGTCTGGCTTCTGGCCCGGGAGGATCGCGTAGATCTGCAGGATCTGCTTGACGACCTCGTCAGGCGTCTTGCCATCACTACATTCTGTTAGCACAAAACGCATACAGAGGGTTTGCGGGGTACTGACATCTTTGCATTGATGATCCAGTCGAGGTCTTCCTCGCCCTCTTCGCTGCCGCCACTGCCGCCCTTTACGCGTCTGAAGAGCTGTGGGTGCCAGTCCACACCTTCGCTGTTTCTTTTCGCAGCTTCCTGCCTTTGCATGTCTTCAATCTTAGCCTTGGCATCGGTTGCGACGTCCTGGTCTCTCCGCTTCACAGCCTCGGTCACATCGTGCCAGAGCTTTTGCGATTCTCGGTCGTTTTGTTCCTCGAGAGGCCGAGCCGACGGTGGGGTATGTTTGGTATGTGCTGCATCGAACAGGAGCTCCTTTTTGCCAGTCTACAAATGGTCAGTACATACTCTGACCCTGCAAGAGTGAGAACCTTACTGTCAGATCCTTGATGTACATCTCCTCGTTCCACTGACCCGAGAGCTCGTAGAGGTTCTTGCCGCTGGAGTCTTTGATGTAGCCACCGATAGCGTTGTATGACCCACTGAAGTAACCCTTGGTCTTGAATTCGAGATCGGCAGTGAGACCGGTCTCGGGGCAGCGAATGTATGCGTGGTCGCCAAGCTCGTACTTCATCGTCCCGAAGAGGATACCGCGCGCGTACATGTTGGGTTGAGTGACGAAACTACCTGTCGTGAGCCTCAAGCTGTGGTGTTCATGCGCTAGACTTACAATCGCTCGCCGGTATTTAGTAGCCGCAGAACTGCGATGCCCTCCATCATACTCGCCGCGGAGTTGCCGAGGAACTTGCTGCGAGGCTTGAGGGTGCCGTCTATGCGGATGTTGTGCTCGGGGGCCATGAAGAAGTAGCTCGACTTGGGCGGGTGGTGCGACGTCTGTTCGGAGATGTAGTAGCCCTTGGTGCCGTCTGGATAGTCCCAGTAGCCTGTGAAGATTTCACCCAGGATGGGGTTGAGCGGCTTCTTGACTCCCCTAAGTCACATCAGTTGTTGCTTGTGGGCGCAAGAAGAAGGCGGAGATGCATACGGGGGCTTGATGTGCCAACCACTCAGGTAGAACTTTGTCACTGCTACGAATCGCTGTACGGGGTCTTCCACCTTGGTTATAGGGAGAAGTGTCTCCGGATGTGCCATGAAGCTGCCTGATAGTCAGCCTATGCACCCGTCGCCAAGCCTAGATGCGCTACACACTTTGTTATGCGTTCCAGCATCGACCGCGGTTCGAGGATGAAGGTAGGAAGCGTGACGCGGCTCAAGTCGGCGCCGGGTCGCAGTTGGGATATGATGTGGGAGAGCATGCTGCCCTGCTCGGAATCCATGACGGTCTCGTCCTCCTTGGTCGTCTCGTCGCCGCCCTCGTGTCGTCGTGTCTCGTCTATGGAAGACCCGCGGCTACCTAAACATTCAAACTTGCATCAGCTTCGGTACGGCCGGAATTCGGGAGATGACGCACTGGTGAGCGACGACCGCCGGTGTTTGGAGACTATAGGTAGGTGCGGCATGGTGAGTACAGGCCGCAGAGGGAGAGAAAGGGAAAAGTGGTGGAGGTGAGGCGGGCAGAAGCAGGCAGCGAAGTACCGGCAGAGGATGTCTTGGTGCTTCGGGTGCCGGCGAGGGTGAGCTTAGTCGCAGCAATGACGATGGGGGCTTCACAAAAACTAGCGACCCCGCGCGTTGGACCTGTTTAGCAGCAAACTGTAAACATCAACAACACTGTACCGTGGAAGGGCGTGCAGTGAGGGGTCCAGGGCGCCAGGCGACACAGCATGCAGTCTTTTGAGCATCCAGCTGACTGGACCTAATATAGCGATCGCCAGGCTGTGTTCTGCAGGCCTGCTGCCCCATGCCCCGCAGTCGGCACATGCCAAAGCGCCGCCATACGAAGTACGCGACACGCGCATGCGGCACGGCTCGGAGCACGACTATTCTTCCGAGTATCCAGGACCTGCGATTCCAGGAACAGTGCCACCAGATACAGTGGGGGCCGGCCCGGATGTCGCGCGATGATAATCTTGAATGCTACGCGTCCGCATTCCGGGAGAACCGGGCGCGAGAAGGATTCATGACGATGACGTCGCTATCAAGGGGTGCACATCGCCAAAGATCTGACAAGAAACCTTAGATTCGATTACTATCAGACATTCATGACTGTCGTCTAGTCCAGCACACTCTCGCCGGCCCTGCTTGCATCCTTCGCGCCCTGGTCCTGAGTCCGCTGGATTTGCTCCTTGACCCTCTGGACCTGTGCATCATCCTTGGCTATAACCGTCACTCCAACCTTCTCGTACTCCTTGTGGACCTCTTCCATTGCTGACGGATCGACTGCCCTTGTCGCATCGCCGACTACCCATGTTTTGAAGCCTTCCTTCTGTGCATCAATCGCAGTGTACTTGACGCAGTAGTCGCCTGCGAGACCGACGACAAAGACGTCGGTGATTTCGGCCTTGCGCAATGTCTCTGCAAGATCGCTCTTGGCCACAGATGGGCGCTTGAACGGATCCGCGAACGCAGAGTACATCTCCACGCGCTTGTCCTGGCCCTTCTCGACTATGTGGTCCACCCTGCTGACGTCCAGCTCTGGCAGCAGCTCAGAGCCTTTCGTGCCCTGCACGCAGTGGTCTGGCCATAGCCGCGTTTCCTGCGTCTCGTCTGGATTGTTCGGGTTCTTGATGGTGAAGGTGGATTCGAAAGGCTTGTTGTTCGGCGGAGAGTGGTTCGAGGCGAAGGAGACGTGGTCTTGGGGATGGAAGTCTTTCGTCGCGACTTTGAGAGCAAAAGGATATGTGAGGAACTCGTTGATGGTCGGGACGATGTCGCGTCCACCTGTTACTGCGAGCGCCCCGTTCTAAGCTTGTTAATTGGGAGGCAGCCATGCAAATGGTGGGTGCTTACTGGCGGGCAGAAGTCTTCCTGTACGTCGACGATGACGAGCGCTGGTTTGAAAGACATGCTGGGTAAGTAACCAAAATTATCAAATTAGTGCGTTAGTGGGTGAAGATGTCTAGAGTGGTCCCAAGGTTGAGAGTAGAGTTCCGAAGGCTGTAAGGTAGAGCAGTCATGCGTAGCACCGTCTTATAAATAATCACCAATGTCTAAGATCAATGCAGCGTAGGTCATGATGCTGCAGGTGCATGGCGCAAGCCGTAGAAACGAGCCGTTGATGAATCAACGATCGCAGACCACGAGGCAGAAGCTTGCCAGCAGCGTCACCAGCGTTCTGTGGCTTGCCTTACCTAATCACAGCGCCAAGCCGTCTGCCGTCGGCTCGTCAATTCACGACTGACGAACATCACCAGCTCGATAACCACGCCCACCCTCTCCACTCCACCCCAATCGTCCCGCCATGTTCGTCCAGCGCTCTGCTATCGCCGCAGCAAGGCGTGTGGCCCCCCGCGCCATTGCGACCCGCCGCACCTTCACCACCACCTTTGCCCGCTGTATGTTTCGCGAGGAGCTATCGTACGATGTGCCATTGACACTATAGCAGGGGAGTCCACCGAGAGCAAGGAGGCCAAGGAGAGCAACATTGCGCAGAAGGAGACCGGTCACTCGGCCAACTCCCCCAGCGTCCTCGCAGGCTTCAAGAAGCTCGACCGTATGTTGCGCCCGCACTTCGTCATCCGCATTGCCGCGGCTACGATAGGCCAAAACCATCAATTGCTGACGAGGTCACTTCTGTAGAAATCAAGACCGAGGAGGACCTTCTGCCCCCTGGTGCGCAGCCCGGTACCGTTCCCACCGATGCCGAGCAGGCGACCGGTCTTGAGCGTCTCGAAATTCTCGGAAAGATGCAGGGTATCGATATCTTCGACATGAGGCCATTGGACGCCAGCCGTCTCGGTACGTGATGCCGCCCCCGGAAAGATCAGGAAAAAAGAGCTTGCGCGAGTTTGGGCTACCAGTGGCGTGATGTGATGCTGATGAAATGCAGGTACGATGGAGGACCCCATCACCGTCAACTCGGCCGGTAACGAGCAGTACGTTGGTTGCACCGGTTTCCCCGCCGATTCGCACAACGTCCTCTGGATCACCCTTACCCGCGAGGAGCCCAAGTCCCGCTGCATGGAGTGCGGATCCGTATACGAGATGAAGTACGTTGGCCCGGCCGACGACGCCCACGGCCATGATCACCACCACGCCGAGAACCAATACCCCAGGCCCAAGAACATGGCCGACTTCCTCAAGCCCGAGTACAGGGAGTTATAAGCTTGAGCGACTTTCTCGTAAATTATAGAGTGTATCTATATGGTCGCTAAACCTGTAGCATAGTATGGTGGAGAAGTTTCTTTTGAGTTGAATGCATGCATCCGACTCGTTTGCCTGGTATTTCGAATATTCTTCTCTCCTCCCTCGGGTCAGGCTCGCATGTCAGCCCGACGCGTCGAGGCTCCTCAACATCTGATCACCCCTAGTGGTTCATTGCAAGGAACCCTACCCTGGCTCATGACCCTTTCAGCGCGATAACACCCAGAACAACACTTTCGATACCTTTCTTCTCCGCTGTCCTCCTCTCCGCGTCCGCTTCCCCGTTAAGGCCACCACCATTCTTTCCCTTCTTCCCACCATCGCCTCCACCCAGCTTATACACCTTCTTCACCTTGTCAACATCACACCATTCACCCAGTTCCTCACCATTCTCACCCATCTCCACCCTCGTCCCCTCTACCGCACTGCCCAAATGCTTACTCACAGATTCATTGGTGATGCTCTCATCTTTCTCATAAGCGCCCTGCTCCCCTGTTGATGTTGACGGAGACAAGGGTAGCTTGACAGCAATCAGTGCGGTCGTGGTATCAGCGATGCCGAATTTCTTATATGATTCGCCAATGTTGTTGTTGGGCGAGAGGCGGAATACTAGCTCGGAATGTGGAGTGCGCGTTTTGGCACGGTTGGTCAGGTGAGCGTGTAAGGCGAGGAATGTGGCCGAGAGCAGGTGGTGTGGTGAGAGTATCTGGGGTGATTTGTTAGTACCGAGGGTGAATGTCGATCCATCGTAGATGGCGATTCAAATGAGCCGTGACAACAGGGTAGGGCTGAAATGTGGCATGGCTTTTGTCGTTGGGATACGTTAGTGCTTAGGGTTATCCAGCCTCATCAGATGCCAGACTGATTTACTCATGCGGTGTGATGAGATTAACCATGGTGCAAAGATGCCGCGGGGAAAATATCCACGCCTCGCAATCTCTTATCACGAAACTTTATTGACTTGTGGGGTGTTGTTCTGATCCAGGTGACTCAGCGGACCCTGACAGGCGGGGGTTGCTGGAGGCGCGAAAAGCAATGAACAGGTAGTGAACCACGACCTACCATGGATGCATCCAAGAAGGCATAGTCGAACTCTGGATTGGCCTCGAGTAGTTGGCGCCTTAGGAAGGAGGCGTTTTTGACATCCTTGAATAAGGCCACGTGGACAGGGAAGGCCTCGTAGTGCGGGATTGTGAAGGTTCGCACGGACGCCATGTTAGATGGGATTGGTGTTGGCGTAAGTTTGGGTGTTGAAATGCACCACGTCGCGGGGGCGGAACCTTGTTGGCGATGTGATGTCGTCGTGCGTGTTTCGTCGTGTGATGAAAACTCTAGTGGCGTCTTTGTGGTTGATGATGCTCTTTGGTGATCATGGAGACGGACGCTGCTAGGCGGTTCGCCAGTTGTCGATTTGCATTGGCAATCTCCAAGGATATCAGATCGTGGGTGAGTCTAAAGCTCGACGGCCGCTTTGGGCAGGAGCGGGGACGGCCAAGCTAGATTTAGTCCCAGAGAATGAAGGTGGCACGGCGAATCAGGACGGATCATCGTGTCGATCGCCAGAGAACAAACTAAATTCGCCGAATATGTCAGGGCAGGCACCGTCACAGCCGTCTAGAGGTCCAGGTTTCTGAGCGCCATGTGGCCAATAAAGGGCGGACTGGACTCGATAGCTGGGCTTGCGGAGAATGGGCCTGTTCCCTTGGACGCATCGCCGAGAAACGCGCTTTCACTCGCACCCTTTGACTCCCAGCGCAGCCAGCCCTCACTTCCTCTTCCACTCTCTCGCAACCCGGCCGACGAGACTGCACAGAGGTCGCGCATCGTGCAGCGACGCTCAATTCCCGCGCAGCCGCAAGCCTCGCTAGAAGTCATGTGTCTTTTGTTTGACAGGTGATAGTCGCAAGCCACCCGAGGCGCACCACCTTTGCTGGGTTTACTTGCATCGGTCTTCTCCATCGGCATTTCCCGTCTCGTGCCTGTTTCGACGTGCATTACGAAAAGTATGGCCACCAAGCGACCCCCGGACGATGACCCCAATCTCGTCAACAAGATCCAGCGAATCGAGCATGCCGACCCGCTGAGCCCACAACACCGCCCGCCCTCCAACAATGACTTCTCCGGCTCTGTCAAGAAGAAGCTCGCCGACTCCAAGCGGACGGGTCAGGCGTGCGATCGATGCAAGGTACGTGATGCAGTTAGTCGCATGCGACGAAGGAGTCTTGGGGCATGTCAATTGGTCTTGACGGTCGTCGTCTCACAACATTGGCAACCACTACGCCAGCGACGTCATTGCATGGACGCGCCTTCCTAGACACCATGACACCACTAACCACCACGGCAGGTGCGCAAGATACGCTGCGATGGCCGCCCCGAGGGCTGCACACCGTGCGAGCAGAACAGGACGCCCTGCCGCACCACCGACCGCATCACCGGCCGCGCCACTGTCCGCGGCCACGCCGAGGCCATGGAGTCGGAGAACTCGTACCTGCGCGCCCAAATCGCTGACCTCCAGGCCCAGCTGAAGGAGCACAACATCGAGCCCCGCGCGCCGCCCGCCTACAACGCCCTCCAACCGCCCAGCCACCCGTGGTCCTCCGCCCCCAGCGACAGCCAGGCGTGGAACGATGGCCCGCGACGCACCAGCACCTCACCTCTGCCCGGCTACGCGCCAGCCGGCACTCCAGGCAAGATCGAGACGCTGCCGCAGTTCAAGCACGGCTCCATCGGCGACAACTATCTCGGTGTCGCGGCGGGAGACTCACTCTTGAGCCATATCAAAGGCACCTCGCTGTCAATCTTCGGCACTGAAATCAACATTACCGACTTCATGGCAGGCGAGGAAGAGTACGAGAGCTCGCCCATGTCCTACACGACACTGATCGACATTGCAATCGGCAGTCGCCATGTCGACGAGCCCCAACTACCGCCATACCCGGAGCTGCAAGAGTACGCCATTTGGTATCTGCGTTCTCTGAACCCCTACACGATGCTTGTCCACAAGCCCGTCTTCATGGATTTGGTAGGCCAGCCACCAACTATCACAGTGCGCCCCGCTAATGCCCACAGATTTGGAGATTCGGCAACGACTCCAGCTTCGTTCCTACTGCACCCCAGATTGTGACGGTCCATTTGATGCTCGCGACCATTACCTACCAGATCGCGACCCGGAACAGCCAACACAGCGGCAGCACGATGCTGGACGATTCGCATGCCCACTACATGTATGCGCTGAGTTTCTACAAGGAACTCATCCGTGGAGACCACGGCTGGGAAGACGTTCAAGCCATGGCCATGATATGCCACCATCTCCGGACCTTCCCCAAGCCCGGCGCGGCGTGGATCATGACCTCGACTGTCTACTTGTTCGCTGTCCAACTGGGTCTGCATAGATCTGTCAAAGTCTGGGTAGACGGCACTGGAGAACTCGGCAAGCTGGACATCGAGATGAGGAAACGAGTCTACTGGACGCTGCACGCGCTGCTGGTCAACCTTAGCGGAAAGCTTGGACGGCCGATACCTATCAGCATAAGTGACATCGATGTCGAATTCCCGGAGCCAATGAACGATTGTCTGCCTGGCGAGGAAGGCAAGCTGGACATCTTCCATCAATGCTCCTTCCAAGTTGGCATACAAATGGCTAAATACATTGTCTGGGAAACGGAACTCTACAAGATAATCTATGCTGTTCGACATTCGCCGAAAACATACCTGGAGGGCTTGAAACGCCTCGAAGCCGGCATACAACAGTGGAAAGACGACCTCCCTTACGAGTTGCGCGACCCGTCGCATGCGTCTGAAGATGACCACATATTCGCTTTGTATCTCGAGTATTGGTATCAGGCGTTCAACCTGCTTCTACACCATCCAGCTGTTTGCAGGTCCACTGACACGGCCATCATTAATTCTAACTTGGACAAGTGCCTGACTGCATCGCAGAAGATGCTGCACAACTGTACGGCGATGATGAACAAAAAGAGTCTGGATATTCCCTGGATTAACACGGTCGTTTACATTGCCGCTGCCTTCACCACTCTCTTCATCTCGTCTATGCGGCAAGAGCAACTATCGCCTGTGGATATGACAAAGCTCAAAGGCGACATGGCAGCCTGGGTCAATGTGCTTGGCGAATGCGACCAGTTTCTGGGATCCGGCAACAAACTCAAAACTGCCGTCGCAAGGATCGTCGACCAGTCGCTTAGTAACATCAACGATAATATTGTCAAGCGAACTGCGACCGAGTCTCTCGCTCGCGTAGCGATGCATGCTCCACCCCGATCGACGAATACCGCCCCCACGTACGACAACAGCGGGTACCGCGACCAGTACACAACCTCATCCAGTTCACCCACGGACCCTACCCTCACCTCACAATCTGTAGGCCCGTACAGTGGTCTTCCGGGAAATAGTACACATCCATACAGTCTTGGCACCCCGGTGGCTCTCCCTCAGCATACGAATAGAACGTACGAACAACACGCATACAGCAGCGGCGATGAGACAAGCATGCATGCGAATCATGCAGCAGCACTAGCAGGAGCAGGCTCGGGTAGCATGTCGCAACCCTCAACTGATGCGTACGCCTACAGTAATGCGCAAATTGCCAACAACGGCCACCAGCCCGCGTACGCGGCTAATACCTATGCTCCTCAAGACTGGAGTCAATGGACACGAGCATATATGCAACCACACAGCCAGCCTGGTGAATATCTAAATACAGCAACCACTCTCATGACCCTGGGTCGAGATGGTGCGTCCCAGGGAACCGGGAGCGACGGCCAAGGGCTTGTCCAAACATCCGGAGTCCAGGGACACGCTCCCACACATTGGCCAGAGCTCGCATTCCCGAATGCCGCGACTGGTGGCAGCCACATGGCTCAACATTGAGCTCGGAAACACGACACATGGCACATAGAAGGCTGTGTCCCTTCGGCTAATCTACATGGGTATTTGATCTTTATGGTCCGGCGTAGTGGCAACCATCGATACCCGGCATCTGGAACACTTTGTGGGGTTAATGTACGGATATGAAGCGGCTCTCTGCAAGCTGCATGTGTTTGGTAATTTTAATTGCGAGATCTTTTCTTATGTATAATACTTCGGTTGGAGGCCAGACTCCATTCTTCGGAGAACGAACGCCGAACACGACACGACGACCGGCTGATGTTGGTCAGCAAGGGTTAGATGTGACGTTGTTGTTGAAGGGATACTGGATATTTGCCGAGTTGCAAACAAAGGACCATTGCAGTCGAAACAATGAAGATAATGATAATATCGAAGTAGGCCCTTCTCTGTCGTAGCCTGTCTGATAACAATACTTCCACAAACCATGCCTTCTCTTCCTGCGAACATCCACGGGTCGGCCGTAATCATCGCCACAAGATCTACTCTCCGTCCAGACCTCACCCAGGTAAATTGCCCGCCACCCGTCGCCTCGGTGCTACAGTGCGGACCCTGGGGAGTGCGCGCATCAATCTAGCAGCAGCACTAACCCGTGCCACCTAGGCTAAAGTAGGAAGCCGACTTGACGACTTGGCACGACCCCACCAATTGACCTTCCATTCGAGCACCAAGCCCGATAAGCTTCTGTACTTCGATCCACCGCGCTTGGTCACTACGTAAACCTCCTTCTGCTTTGGAGCTGGCGGTGCAGACAAGCACGACAGATCTCCTAAGCTTTTTTCGGTGCCAACCGCGGTTTAATAGGCGTTGAGTTTAATGACTCGGTAAGCCTTGCAGCCGACGATCCTGTGGCCCTTACCAAGGGCCGCAGGATGGGCGGCAAAACGGTATAGCGTCGAAGTTAGCTATGTATATATGGGCGGCCTGAGGATGGCGAAGATGGATCTCTACGCCGTTCTTTCGTCCTTGAGTCGCTGTCGTGGTCTGTGCCGTCGATTGGGCTGTGTGTCTGACAACCTTGGTACCGAAGCTGCGCAGAAGAATATCTTCGCTCTTCTCCCGACACCCATACCTCACTCGCGCGGATCTCTTGCGGAGGTAATCCGGGTACAACAGTTCCTATCCACGCATCGTTACTTCTTTCATTCACAACATGCGGTCCTCGGTCTCCGTCTCGGCAGTGGCCCTCGCCCTGTTGCAGGGCACCAACGCCTTGAATGCGGCCATTCAGCGCAAGCTTAATCTGCTTGCCGATATGGGCATGAACCCAGATGGCTCGGCCATGGTTACTTTCTCCGACGACGCCGAAAACAGCGCTTTCGATGCCACGGCTTTCAAATCCCTCAAGATTGCGACTACGTCAAACAGCCCGGCTGTGTTGGCTGCCGCGCCGCTCAGAAACATCACTCCGGAATATGTCGAGCTGCCACTGGACCACTTCGCCTACAAGAAAGGCCAGGATCCTTCGTACCATGGCACATTCTTTAATAGGTACTGGGTCAACATGGATGCGTACAAGCCTGGCGGTCCCGTTTTCCTCTACGACACAGGCGAGGCAGATGCAGAGCCGGGTGCGCTGACCAGGCTGCTAAACGAAACCAGCTTTTTCAAGCAGCTCGTCGATGACTATAACGGTATCGGAATCGTTTGGGAGCACCGCTTCTACGGAAACTCAACACCCACGCCTATCGACCTCAACACGCCAGCCGAGGCATTCGAGTTCCTGAACACGGAGCAGTCGCTTAAAGATGTCGACGCCTTTGCTAGGCAGTTCAGCAGGAAGGGTGTCAATGCTACGCTCACACCCGACAAGACTCCCTGGGTTTTCGTTGGTGGCTCGTACCCCGGTATGAGGGCCGCTTTCATGCGCAACTTGTACCCCGACACTATCCACGCGTCTTGGGCCTCTTCAGCTCCCGTCGAAGCTTCCGTTGACCAAAGCTTCTACTTCTCACCTATCTGGCGCGGTATGCATGCCAAGGGCTTCGGAAACTGCTCGGAGGATATCCACGCTGCTGTTAACTACATGGACAACATCATGGACACAGACTCACGCGCAACCGCCAAGCTTAAGGAGCAGTTCCTTGGACTTGGAGCTGCCAACAACTCTAACCCAACCTTTGCCGATGCTCTTACGACTCCCTTCTACCTATGGCAGTCTTACGGTATGGAAGGTGGATCTCTGGGTCTCCGTCAATTCTGCGACTACCTCGAGAAGGACCCCAAGACGAACACTACAGCTCCCGCGGAGGGCTGGTCCAAGAGCAAGGGTGCGAAATGGACGGTTGATCGATGGGCGAGCTACCCTGTCTTTGCCAACAACACGAATGATTACTTGGAAACCGAGTGCTCGGGCAAGTTGAACGTGACCGGTAACTGTGACCTGAACCAGAGGTTCACAGATCCCGCTTCGATTGCTTGGACGTGGCAATACTGCACACAGTGGGGTAAGACTTCGTCCTCTCAAACCCAACTTCCCTCCTTGCATAATACTAATTTATCCATCAGGATACTTCCAATCCGCCAACCTCGGATCCCAGCAACTCGTCTCCAAGTACAACTCGCTTGAACACCAAAAGGACATCTGCCACCGCCAGTTCCCCAACGCTCCCAAATCCCTCTTCCCTGAGTGGCCAAACACCGCCCGCACCAACAAGATCTTCGGAGGCTGGGATATCCGTCCTTCCAACACCTACTGGTCCAACGGTGAATTCGATCCCTGGCGCACTCTCTCCCCCGCTTCCGCTGAGCCCTTTGCCCCCAAGGGCGTCCAAGTCATCCAGGATGTGCCCAAGTGTGGAAAGAAGACGAGCAGGAACGAGCTGTTTGGCCTGGTCCTCAAGGACGCGCAGCATTGCTACGACTTCAGGACGACAGGTTCTACCGTCCCCGACGGACCCGTCAGTCGGACGTTGTTCAGGAAAGCGCTAAGCGAGTGGCTGCAGTGCTACAAGCCGAAAAAGGGCCAATCGAAGCCTTGGAACGCCTAGATGCAGTATGCAGGTCTGGGAAAGGGCCGTCCCCTTGCTTCGGGTAGAAGAGATGGCATTGCTACGTATTGTTCTTCCCTGCCACACTTTACTTAGACGTCATGATAAGTCTTATCATTAACATCCTACAACTTTGACCTCGCCACGCTGTCGTGTGACTGCTGTTCTCGAGATTTATCCAAGCGAGCTTCCCATTCCCATACTTCCCCTGTGAACCTATCCTTCTCCCACGCCTCATACACATTCCTCTTCTCTTCCTCGCTACTAACTCCACACATATCCCCCCACACTTCCAACTGCTCTTTAAACCCCGGGTTAGGATCGCACACCGGTCGTCCCTCACATAGTTGCTCCAGCGCTGCGGCAGGGGTGATGTTGTACTTCCAGATCAAGTATGCGCAGACGAGTGTTGCGGACCGGGACTTTCCCATTGCGCAGTGGATGAATACACCGCCTTTTTCATGATTGAGGGCCGAGTCGATGTACTGGACGGCGGGGGTAAAGTCTTGGAGCAAGTTGGTGTTTGGGTGGTCTTCTGAGCGGATGTGGAAACTAGAAGTGCAGATTACGTCAGTATTGTGAGGACATGGAAAGCCACATGTGTCGAGGTGGCGACAGTGGTCCAGCTCTGATGCCGCTCTGGAATGAGTACAATACATACTAAACACATCAGTTAGCACACATACATGAGCTGCATTTTGACAATCATTGCACGTTACCTGTTTCAAATACCTAAACTTCTCCTGTAGTAAAGGGTCATAATCTATCACTGATAGCACATGCGTTATGCCTGCTTTATCTATCAAGTCGCCTTGGTATAGGGCGTAGAGGCCGCCGATGTAGAGTTTACCCGCCCGAGGCACGAGATCGACCCAGCCCATGCCTGTGTGTCCTGTGCTGCCGTGGAGGAGGAAGGACATGTAGTCTGGAAGCTAGACAGGCGGGAGAATGGAATTTGAGGGGTAGAGAGTGAGTGATGTGATGGATATGGGATGGAGTTGATGGCTATGGGAGGACGAGAGTGTCCAATCGCGGAGAAAGTACCGAGGTACGATTGGAACAGGACATCATCTGCTCTCGATGTAATTTCTGGATGTATCTGCACGCGCCTGTCCTCTGATTTTGCATCTTCCTATTGACATGCCGTGGGTATCGTCGCCGCAACGTCCGAATGGTGTTGTTTGAGAAGTGCTGCCCGCAATCGGCCAATGACAGCCGGTGAGAGGAGGCCCCACGTGCGTGGAGCGCTAGACGGCGGACGCGCCTTCCAGCCTCGCCGTGAGACGCGTCAAACTTCACACCTACCATCTGGCATCATCATACACACTTCCAGAGACCGCGCGACATCACCTCGACAGCTTGGCCCGTACGACGCGAGCTATTATGGAGCTTGACTGTGAGAATGGACTTCAACGATGCTGATGCAGGCGGCCAGTATATGACGTCAACGCGACTCTATCAAATTGATGGAAACACCAGCATGCGCTCACCCACACAGGCTGACGCGAAGATAGTGTATCCGCATACTCATTTCTACTAGCAAAGGACTCGCTCAAGTGGTATGGTGTCAGGACCTACTCTTCGTTCTCTACCCATCCATGAGTATCGCCATGTTTTCGTTCCATCAATCTTTCTGTTGTTTAGATGAAGAAGTCGCAATCGCGACGCAGGCATTGCTTGCATGCATGCTTATCAGAAGAGCGCAGAGTAATCGGGTGATACGCAAACTTGGTCTATCCTATGCATAGGTGCCTGTGGTGAGGGTTTTGTGTAACGCTACAGGGCCCAGCCGCGTTCAATCGACCAATATAGTCCCCGCGACTCTCGTCTAGTGAAGGGAAGCAGGAAACCGATTGTCCTAAACCGGCTAGCCGCTGCCAGATGCAGGTCCAAGCAAACAACTATTCTCGACACAAATGTTGCTCGGTCGTCTCCGAGTCTCTCCCCATTGACACTGCCCGCAAAATGTCGCTCAAGCCAGTTCATATCACGCAAGGGCCGTTCTTCTACCCCGTCGGCAACACCCCAGCTGTGTGCTTGACCCAATCCCTACCGCGCGAACAAGATGCCGCCCTGCTACTACTCGGTTGTGGGGATATCCGAAATATCCTCTTCACTGCTTATAGTGGAGCTGGAGCTGGTAAGTGCTGTCCTCGACTGTACATTGTACCCGCATATACTGACCGGGACGCAGATGACAGGAAGCTTGACTTCACATGCTGCGATATTGAAGCGGAGATCATTGCGCGCAACGTACTCGCCCTGACACTCATCCTTGATGACACGAAAGGTACCCGCGTGCGACAGCTATGGAACCTGTACTATCACATCTTTATTGATGGCGAGTCCGCTGGTGTTCTGCGCTCTCAGTCGAAAAAGCTGTTGGAGCTTGCGCAGTCGTTGAAAAGCTGGAATGAAGGTCCATATGGCACGATCATTCGATTCTGTGACAGCATCACACTCGAAAACGTTACTAAGCTTTGGGAGCTGTATGCGTTGGAACCAGATCAAGACAAGAAGTACAAGGCGACACAAGATATGCTGAAAGATCAATGGCAGGCTGCCAAGCAGGTGCAGGCCCTCAAGACGTCTGGGTCGGCGTTCGTGGGAGACGGCATTCGCGCATTCGCCCCGCTCTTGACCCAAGGCTTCGAAGAGGCTGGCAAAGCTTATAAGACATATTGGAAGAGTGGGACGTGTTTGGAGGACAACAAGGTCATCAAGAACCTCTCGATCGCCAATCCTATGTTCGTCTGCCATCGCAGTGGCCTCGTGCTCCACTACGGTACTAGCCCGCTCACCGGCTTCCACCTTGCGCCCATGTATGCTCGACTTGCCGCAGACTCACCCTTGTTCGTATCAAGTGAGACGACAAAGGGAAAGCTGCCAAAGCCCATGCAGATAGCGCTCGACCAGCTATCTGCCTGGTGCTTTGCATTCAGGAAAGCCTCCACGCGTCTCACCATTCGATATGTTAACTCTGACGCTGTCGCGTTCTGTCATGTTATTCAACACCAACAAGCACACGGCGAATCACGCACAGCTTGTTGGTATCGTAACGTGTGGACATACACCCCACTAGTCTTAGATGCGCCCGAATACGAGCAGGGCGGATCTGCACCAGCAACCTTCGATGTTATTGACACATCCAATTTGCTCGACTATGTGGGCTGTCTCAACATTCTTGCAGCATCTGCGTCGTTGATTCGCCAAAACGCCTCGTCCATCCTCCGGACAGAAATGCTCATACCCTCTGAAATCGACATGGCAGCTTCAGCCAGCGCTTTGCTTTGTGGACACCTTCCAACAATCGCTCTACTGCTCGGTCTAAAGCCCGTCCAATACTGGACAAATGCAACATCTGTTTGGCACCTGAACGCCGCCAATTTCCCCGACTTGAACAAGACCAGTATGTTCGCTGCAGCCACGTCTAGACCCATTGTACTCTGGAAGCCGGTCAATACTTCTAAGATTCGTTACGATGCAGCTGAGCTAGCTAGACTGCTTATGTCTATGTATCTGAACATGTTCCAGGATGAAGGATGGGCCAATCAGTTCTCAATGCTAGGCTTAGGCAATGCAGAATTGAAGAAGAAGAAGCTTACCGCATACGAACTGTACACTCGAGCAAGCTTCGTGTCGCTGCTTCAACACATCAAGGTATCAAACGTCGTTGACTGGTCTCCATTCATGCATGCTCTGGTCAAAGTAGGCATCATGAACGACACAACCTTGAACATGGGTCCACACCACTTACAGTCTCTTCTCGTCTACCTTGACATGCTCGGGGTATGGAAGGTAGAAGATGCTTTTGAGTGGTGGCATCCACGAACCTTCGAATTGGGCGGTCTGTTCCGCAAATGGGAGGACATCCCTTCACTCATGTGCGTCACACTTGTCGTTCCTCACGACAAGGTCTCGATGTTCGGTGACCTTGCCAACGGCCACGGTACTCCGTTATGCCAGCTCCAGCTCAACTCGTCGATCAGTCCGAAAGAGGCTCTCTACACGGACATACAGATGGGCTTTGGAACGATCGAGACTTCTGGTTCGGCGTTCACGAATGACTATCGAGTAACGGTCCGAGAAGACGACAAGGGCTGGAAGGGAAAGTCGCCATTGATCGTATCCACTATGGTCTCTACGTGCACCCTCACCGAAGAGGAGGATGATGTCTGTGGCGTTACCTTTGGACTCAAGAGTACTCCAACAGCTCAGCTGCAGTTTATGTCCATGTTTGGCATGCTTCTGCATGTGCACCGATCTGCTGTCGGCCAAAAAGACGTCTTTGTTTCGCGATATCGGCCAGGATTCCAAGGATTCGTTTCCGTGAACAAGGTTACCACGTCCAAGGCGACTGATGGTAGGTCGGACATCTCTACGATCGCGACTTTTGCTAACATGGGTTTAGTAAACGATGTCATCGCTACCATACATCCGCTCATCAGTAGCAACAGGAATGAAGTCGAATCACTGCGAGTACATTACTCTGTAAACTCAGGACAAGCAAAAGAGCTTCTGCAAAGTGGAGCCATCGTCTCGTTCGAGACTACGACGGCATTCACACTAAGGCTCTTCATTGGGAAGACGTATCGAATGGATGTAGTACTTCCATTCCCACCAAATACTGCCAGTGCCAAGACCAAGATCGCACGCAAATCGCTATGGATAGAGTATACGGCTGCCGTGCAGAGTGGAGCAGCAATCCTTCGGCGCCCAGATACCATGATGCCCGTCCATCTTAATGCACAGTAAGTGGGTCAAGGGGTTTAATCTGCATCCACTGACAAACCACAGATCTGAGGTTTTTCTCGAACAACTACATTACGTTCAACCTGATGTTCTACCAAAACTTCTCCTTGGTCAGAAGGCCTCGTTTGCCAAGTGGATCGGCTTACATCCTTCTCCCATGGCTACGATGTCGGCAGGAGAGTTGAAAGCCTACCAGAAGTCTCTCGCTGACGTATCATCAACCATGCCTGGACGCCTTGGTGTGAAGGAGACCCTACAGAGTATCTATGCACACCTTGTTGGGGCAGAAGGCCAAGCACAGGCAAAGATTATCCAATTCTGTACACCCACGTCATTCTTCGGCATACTGTATATCGATTCGGTCCGTATGGATCTGTCGAACCAGACTCTTCTCGCCGATGCTGCATATATTCCTTTCCATACGAGCGCGGACATGGCGCCGCTTGCCGCTGTTCTCGCAGCGCGTCGGGACGACGCCGTGGGCATCAAGATGAAGGAAGATGAAGTCGCCTTCTGGAAGCACCTCTTACCAGGATTTGCCGAACGATGCCGCCAGTGGCAGCACAAACCAACATGCGAGTACAAGGTCGCAGGATGCATCCCCATCTCGACTGACCCCGACAAGCGCTACATGTGCACTTGTGGCTACGGCGTCTTCCCCGTGAACTACCTCAAAGATCTCAAGCTTTCTAAAGATCTCTTCAAACACGCCGTTCGTGTCGCAGTACCAGTCATCTTTGCTTCGCCCATCAATACCGACGATCCTGCTTCTCTACCGACGCCCTCGCCTCCCGCGAAGCCGCAAACGAAGCCGCAAGCTCAAGCACCTGTGGATAAACCCGAGCCGCGTCTGGTAGACCTTGGTGCGAAGGAAGGCACGTGTTGGGAGTGCGGTGCTGAGCGCCACGAGAAGGGTGGGGTTTTAGACAGATGCGGTGGGTGCAAAATGGCTCGCTACTGTTCCGAAGGTTGTCAGAAGAAAGATTGGAAGAAGGGCCACAGGCAGTTGTGCCCGCAGTTGAAAGAGGACTAGGGTGCTTGACTGCACTCAGTGTCGTGGCAGATGTAGGAGTTACATACTACAAGCACGCCTACTGCAAGACCTACTTCCGGCTTCCGCGACGACACTCAAGCTGCGCCAGTGGCCTACTTGCTTGGGACGGAGGGG